CCATGAGGTGAGAAGTTTCTGTTTGCACATTTGTGAATTTGGTGGATAAGTTTTCCACTTGTAACCAAGAACACAGGACAAAGAGAATGAAATGCAGAGAAGAGAGAAACCGGACATCCAAAACCAAAACCCCCCACATCAAGTCAAACTGAAGTAAAACCTTGGGAGTAAAGAATTGTTGGGGCATTCCAAAAGATGGAAAAGCCCTCCAAAAATAGGCGTATGCCGCTGAATGCGGCGAGTACACGGTATTCTTTAGTAAAAGGCGAAAGAATAGTTCGCTRTGTACTCACCGCGCGGCTGCGTGAATGAGTTRAAACGTAAAAGAATCTTATATAGAATTCATGGGGAGTGGAGTTCTCTTCTTTCTCCCGATATGGGATTCAGCCACAATTAATTGGAATTTGGAACTGCTGGTCCACACTCACTAATGGGTTTTATCCATTTTAAGGATTTGAAGTTGTGAATTGAGGTCTCTAGTTCTACGGAATTCCAGGCATGGATTCAGATTTGGGCTGGCAGATGGGATGGGAGGGCCCAACCCAAACCCAACTAACCCCACCTAAATTAGGAAAATTTGGACCTAAAATGAATCTATGTGGGCTTTAGATCTAAGTTGGGGATGAAATTTAAGAGAACCTAGAACCAACTAATCCCATATATGATGACAACTGAGATGTTCTTTCTGTGCGGTTGATAGTGTCTTTTGGGTAGCCGATCTGAACTTTGGATGAAGGCATGCATACCCCCACTATCACAAATTAGGATATACACTCAGTCATCACCCACTAGGGGTGGATGTGCACGGTGCAGCATTGAATTCCAGCCAATCTCAAATGGATGGCCTAGATGGGCCATAAACAACCATATGAAGCAATTAATAATGGCTGCTTGCAATGGTATAGTTGCAAGTATGCAACTCTAAAATGAAGGTGAGGAGTCAGATCGAACTATACCTCTCTTCGCCTTTTGGCTAAGATCAAGTGTAATATCTGTTCTTATCTTTATTCTTTTTTGGTAAATCATAATATCTGTTCTTATCAGTTTCATATCTGAAACATGAGCTAGCCATTGATCCACATGACATGATCACAGTAGTTTTCTGTTGAAGCCTTCCAATTGATCATCTGGATTTTGTCTTCACAACCCTTTGAGTAGTGCATTGGAAACATCTTTGCATGAATGAAAATATACAAGGACTGAGAAGTTGTTAATACATGGCTGAGAACGGTGTGAGAACCAATTTTATTGTGAGGATAAAATCGGGTCTCCTTTGAAACAAGATGAGATTTGTTGAGCAGCATAAAATTTTTCCTACCATGGCTGCTGCTGGTCGTATTTTGCCGAAATGTATTTTCTGTAATCCTGTGAAGTCTTCTTATCTTTCCATCAAGTTAGTCAAGGAGAAAGTTTTTGTAAGTCATCTATACACATACATCCACACACACAGGTAGGGATGACGTGGCCAGTCTTACCTGGTTAATTTATCTTATGGGCCGGGAGGGCCTTTTCTTCCCTTCATGGGCTGAGGCTGACATCTGAATCCAACATATGCCATAGTTGTGTATATCCAAATTGTATGACACCCTTCAATTCAATTTTGATGCATTTAAGTTAGTGATGGCACCTTTCAGTGACAACCATAAAACTTTCGTTTGGTTTGGTGCAATGTGTTCAATTTTCAAAAGCTTTGAAACTGGTGGAGGGAATTATATTCAAGGTCAAGGTCTTTGAGAACTAATAAATGCAAAGGATGACAGGAAATAGTCATAAAACTTACGTAAGATACAAATAATGTGATCAATTGACACACCAAGAGTTGGAAGGATCTGACCGAGTGAAATTTCATATATCGGGTTGAAATTATGATGGAAATAGAGATATATAAATTGCAGGCTTATGATATTCTTAATTAGGGGTGGTCATGGACACACCTTTCAATCCGATCAGAAATTAAAAATTAAAAAAAAAAAGGAAAAAAATCCCGCAAAACCAATCCATCAAGCTATTGAGCAATCAAGCAAGCTCTGTAAGTCCACCGTTTTTTATACTTCTTAGTCTCTTACTCTGTTCATACTTTCCACTTCTCGCTTCTCATTCGCTGGAATTTTGGATTTGCAGAGAAGGGCTTGAAAATGGCAATTTTGGAAGCATCAACGACTCCAACGGTTGAGAATTCTGAAGAGAATCAGGAGAACTCAGAGCCATTGATTCCTGGGTTACCGGACGAGATCGCCGAGCACTGTCTTTTACATCTCCCCTACCCTTATCAGATGCTGGTTCGTTCTGTGTCTTCGTCTTGGAACAGAGCCATCACAAACCCCAACTTTCTGCTTTCCAAGAAAACCCTCTCGCTCTCTATGCTTTACATCTTCGTCTTCGCCTTTCACAAACCGACGGGCAAGATTCAATGGCAAGCCGTGGACCCACGATCGGGTCGTTGGTTCATCTTACCTCCCATGCCCTGCGTCAAACCTGTGTGCCCTCCTGGCTTCGCCTGCGCATCGCTGTCACGGCAGGGTGTGCTTTACGTGCTCGGCGGGATGCGCTCCGACACGGAGACATCGTTGCAAACGCTGATGACCTACAGGCCAGCGCCGGTAGGGGTTGGCGAGGTTTTATTTTCAAAGAGTAAGGATACATTTAGTCAATTATGTTTTAGCTAAAACATAAGGATAATTTAAAAAATTTATCCTAAAAATTATTTTGAAAATTAATAAATTTTTTATAGTAAAATTAATTTTACAAGATTACTATTTTTTATTATTTTATTTATACAACCAATTTTATTTATAATATTAGTAATTTAATTGAACTTTCAATTAATAAAATTTGTTGTAAAATTATTATTATTATTATTATTATATTAACAAGTTTGAATTAATTTTTGCAACTTTTTATTGTTATTATAATTAAAGGTCACCAAGTATGAACAGTAGAACATCTTTCCACAGACATGCAGAGAAATTGATCCGTCGACAATGGCCTAGACTCATTGGAACCATTTGAATTTGACTTGGGCAGGAAAGGGCTGCAAGCACCAGAAGAACAACAAAACACCAAGATGGAGCTGTTGATTCTTTGACGCTTATGTTTTCTTGTCCTCTTACTCTTTTTATTGTATCAAAGGTATGTATATATATATATAGAGAGAGAAAGAGAAAGAGAAAGAGAAAGAGAAAGAGAGAGATATATATATAGAGAGAGAGAAAGAGAGAGAGATCAATATATATAGAGAGAGAGAGAGAAAGAGAGAGAGTTCGAGAGAGATCATTAATTTTGTGGTTCAATAATGTATATTGTCTTGTATATATGAAGCCTGCAAATCGATCATCAGAGGCGGAGAGGCTAATGCATATTAATTTTCCGTTGATGACAGTGTGATCTCTGCTGACTCTGCAAAAAGTGACATATCCGCCTGGTGTAGGACAACCAAACCCAATTCCCAGCGCACCCAACACTCCTATCCCGTGAGGGCTGAGAGGAAAATGGACGTCGATCCGGCAATCAGATCATATGTCTCTTACAATAAGTTACATTAATATAACCATGACTAGATACCTTTTTCGACAAAACAAACAAGGAATTATCTGCTCTCTTCATTTCCTTTATTTCTAATGTAGTAGATGTATGTAAAAAGAAGGAATGATTGAAAAAGAAGAAATTAAAAAAGTAATTGGACAATAAACAGATTATTTATCATGTCCAAGTTTGTAAAGATGGAATAAGTCTTTTAAGATAGGCCGACCATGTCCATGTTGTATCAACAGCTTTGTAGTTTCTTTAATTTGGATTAATTAATATTTCCAAGTAAAATTTAGTGACTTTTGTTTCATCTAGTGAATGTGCTACCCAATCTGCCTGTGAAATTTGAGAATACATGCATTGTTCATATGGGGGTATTTTTGGTGTTTAAATTATATATTTTCTAAAAGCCTATACAAGTTTATATATATATATATATATATATATATATATATATATATATATATATATATATTGTATTTGAATAAGGTATACTGCACAGAAAACCCTAATTTTCAATGGGAAAACTAGTAAGTGTCTAATTGAGATTTGTAATGTTGTATTGAACATAAGACTTTGTTTGTTTGCTGTCATTTGCACTGGTTTAAATGTATACATGGGAGTGCAAAAAGGCTTTGTGTAAACTGTAAATTCTGGTTTACTCTTCTGCCACAGATTTGATCTATGTGTCTTATTTTTTTTTGTAAAAATTAATTAAAATAGGAAGAGGGTCATTTGTTTAGGAGTGTGAGGTAGGGAGAAGCAAGATGATGTGGTCCTCACTTATATGAGAGAATTGACTATTGAGGCAGGAGGCATCCAAGTAGTTCAAAATTTTCATTAGGTTTTAGGATGCAAAATTTTGACTGCAAATGAGACAAAAATTACAAATTTTGTATCAGTTACAAGTGCAAATCATCATTACAAACAAAATGATGCAATAACTGGATCACATGCAAAATTTGTATTCGGTTCAGATAATTTTGCAAGGATTCATCTGTTGATGGAGGCACAAATCATCACCAAATCAAGTTACAATTTGTATGTTTTCTTTTCCATATGTTTGCATTCCAGTTGGTATTTTCTTGATTTTTCGTATAGTAAAACCTGAAGAAAATAGTTTCAAATATCGCCTTATAGATATTGTTGTACTAATTGATAAAAGTAGAAGGTTCAGACATTGTTAAACATCCAATTTGGCTTTTGTTTCAGCATTTTTTCAAGGTCTCTAAGATTGTATGCAAAACCCTTAGGCTATGTTTGGTTTGAAGGAAAAGGTAGGGAAAGGAAGGGAAAAACAGGGAAACCCATACAAGGTTTGTAAAGATTTCCCTACCTTTCCCTACTTTTTCCTTCGAACAAAACGTAACCTTGATTACTTTTACATCGCATATATAATATCATGTATATCTCATATATAATATCATGAACAAAACGTAACCTTGATTATTCCTCCCTGGAATAATCAGAGACCTTGATCTTACCTTTATCAAAATCAGATTTCAATTTCTATGTTTGTCTTTAAAAAATAGGGAAATTGTCTAAAACTCACCATGAGTTTTCAACATTTCTCTTAAATTCACAACTTTTCAAAATGTCTAAAACTCACCATGTCATTAAGTTTTTATTTTTCAAAACTCACCTTCCATTAGTGCACCATTAATGTTTCTTAACAGAGGTGTCCATGTCATCATAAATAATAATTTTCATGACCCAATTACCCTTGAATGGCGAGTTATAGGAAAAATGGCCTTTTTCATTTTTCAATTTTATTGTTTTTTTTCATTTTTAGTGTTTTTTTATAATTTCCATTGTTTTTTATAACTTCTGTTTTCTTTATATTTTTCTATTTTGTACTATCTATAAATTTTCCTATATTTTTTGTTATTTATTTGCAATTTCTGTGTTTTTCTATAATTTTTGGTGTTTTTTCTACAATTTTTATTTTCTGATTATTTTTTATATTTTTTTGTAATTTCTATGTTTTTATGTATTTTATATTTGAAAATATTTTTTTGAACTTTTTCATTTTTTCATGTCTAAATATTAAAATGGTATATATTAACACCCGTTAATTTATTTTGTATTTTTCGATGAAAGGTTAAAATGGCATTATATTAACACCCATTAATCTATTTAGTGTCAAGTTAGTGACATTATGAGTTTTAGACATTTTGAAAAATTGTGGTGAATTTAAGAGAAATGCTGAAAACTCATGGTGAGTTTTAGACAATTTCCCTAAAAAATAATAATCGTACTACTATAATTAAAGCTATTTTTAGAGAATTTAACTAAAAGGGATTTTGACATGCAAATTTTTGTCATTGTGGCATGTTATTCAAACCATGGACAGACCAATCCATTCTGAACATGCGTAAGGTGAACGAACTATAAGGGGAGATGGATATTATGAAGGGCATGGGTCGCTTGAAAATGGGTAAGATCAGACCCATTTTCAATCATCTTTTTCATCTTATTCAATTTATCGAGTGTATTTTGCCTGCTCAATTGTCACGAATGGAGGGACCCACCCATGTTGTAGGAATCTAGTCCTAAACTTGTAATCCATACACATCATAGCAATCTCATGAAACCTCACTCATCTTGTAAGTACATACCATACCATCCAGAAGTATAAACTTTAAAAAACCAATTATTTTTAAAGTATATAAGTATAATAAATATATATAAATATTAAATATTAAATTTATCAATTATAGACTTTTTATAGTTATACATAATATATATGTAGACATAATTATTGGATTGTGATTGTTGTTGTTTGGTTTATTTTATTAGTACTTTTTTATTGTTATTTTATTGTTAGTCTTTAATAATTAATATCTTAGTATTTGTAGTTAATATTATTTAATTATTAGTATTAATATTTTTATTTTATTATTTATTTATTACATAGTATGTATAACTAAAAGTATTTTTCCTACCCCAAAATATATTTTATTAATATTTTATTTATACATTATTATTATGTTAAATAATTAATATCTTTCTTTGCTATTATTATTTTAGTAATACTTTATTATAGTATTATTATTTTATTATTAAATTAATAATATTTTATTACTTTATGAATATTAGGGTTTTGGGGTTTTGTATTATGAGTTCTTTAGTCCTTAAGGGGGCCTAAAATACCCAAAGGTCCTTACATCGCCCCCCTCTCTTAAATGTCTTTTATAAATGTAACAGTAACATGCATTAAAATAAGAGGCCTTGGAAAACACAAATGTCTCTCTCTCTAATAGTGTGCAACTTTATTAATCTATTCAAAATATTCAATGATTAATCTTTTTATATTTTTAAAACAAAATAAAATAAGAAAAATGAAAAAAATGGAGAAAATAGATAAATAGCTTCTCTTAAAGAAGAGGCATGATGACATGCACCATCCAATTTTATTTTATATACTAGCAGGGATCTGTGTGATGCACAGGAAAATCTGAGAGGTTTAATAATTTTATTTACCATTAATTAATATTAAATTAATAGTCAAAATTTTTTGTTTAATTAAATAAAAGTATTCAAAGTTATTGTTAATATCTAAAATTTTAATAATTTTAATTTTCATTTAATGTTGATTTACATAAAATAATTAATGTTAATTTAATATGAATAAATATTTTTTAATAAATTTAGTTTTATTAATAATTTGTAGTAATTTTAATAATTATTATTATTTTTATTATTTTTAAATGAAATTTTGATTATCTTTGAATAAATAAAAATAATTACAAAAGCTAACATTTTTATTATTTTCACTAGTAATTAAAAATTATATAGGAATGAGAATGGGGTGGGTTCAGGGTAGGGCACCCCATCCCTATCCCTGCCCCATAGTTAAGACACTCTACCCCATCCCCGCCCCGTCCCTAGTGTCGGGTGGGTTCAGGGCAAGGCAACCACTCCTCAATGTTAAGTGAGTTCAGGGACAAGGCACCCCACTCCTCATCAAGGATGGGGAATCCTTGAATTTCCCCGCATCGTCCCTAGTATTGGGCAGGTCCAAGTAGAGGTGTAAATCGGGTCATGTTGGGTAGGCACAACATGATCCACATGCAAGCCGCACAAAGTGCAGGTCGTGTTGTGCTGGCCAACGGGGCGTCCCTCCCTAGCCCGCACAGGCCCGTGCCATGCCGTGGGCCAGGCTAGTCCATAGCTTGAGCCTTGGGCCAGGCCAAGCCGTAGGCTGGGCCAAGCTATGAGAGGTTCATTTTTAAAAAAATTGAAAAAGATATTTAAATTTTTATTTCATATGATTTTTTATGTATACAATTGTTTATATATACAATTAGACTTATTCATGGGCCAGGTAGCCCGACGGCCTGGCCCGACTTGACCTGTTATTTTTTAGGTTTGGACAAAATTTTAGGCATGTGGGCTCGAGTTCAGGCTTTCTCAAATAAGCCTAGCTCGAGCCCAAGCTTGGCCCGATACTATTACATATATAAAAAAGTACTTATGTTATATATAATAAATATATATATATGCTTCTTAAATTATTAATAAATATCAATTTACTATTAGGAAATTGTTATGGACACATTCCTCGGAAAGACATACCATCGCCGCCGGCAGCAACAGGAACCTGACCCACCGCCAAATTAGATTAGATCATCTTGCTTGTTCTTATCTTATTCTATTGCTCTTATCTTATCTTGTTAGTAAGTTATCAGATTATGATTAGTTTATCTTGTTATCAGATTAGGATTAGTTTATCTTGTTATCAGATTAGGATTAGTTTATCTTATTATCAGATTAGGATTAGCTTATCTTATCCTTAGCAAGATAGAATTAGAAGTCTCCCTATTCAGCAAGGAAACTCCCTAAGATTAGGACTCTTGTAATCTCCTATTTAAGGAGACACCATTATTGAATGAAAATATCGAATATTCAGTCAAGAAGAGAGTAAAGGAGAGATAGGTGATCTCTTGGACAAATCACCCACGAGATAGTCAAAATAGGGCATGTACGCAAGGCCAAAGGCAAGGAAAGATCAGAGGTTTCTGCGGTGGAGCGACCCGTGACACGATCCTACGCCCAAGCCCATAACATCTTGGTATCAGAGTCGGTCATCATGGGAGATCTGCAGTACCTATCATCTAGGGTCCACGAACTGGAGCATAGGCTCGTAGAAACCAGTAGGGAGGTTCGTGAGGTCAAAGACGATGTTCGGGAGCTGCGACACTTGCTGGAATCGTATTTCTCTAACAGGGAGAGGAATCCAGAAGGGGCTATAACCACAAACAGCCTCCGACCAGACTTGACGGAGCCGTCCGACGAACAACAGCAGCAGCAATAGACTCTTCTTGGTCCACAGCAGCAGCAACACCCTCAGCCACAGCAGCCAGACAACCAACAACTGCAGTAGTAGAAGCAACAACATGATCAACAACAACAGCTTTTCCGAGCAGCTATTACTAGTCCTAGTATAGTTGCCCCGAAACTGGCCCCTAAGTCCTATGGGCCCTTCAAGGTTCTACGATGGATTGGCAGTGTGGCCTACCAGCTGGAACTACCAGAGACCAGCCAGATTCATGATGTCTTCCACATCGCCTTGCTGAAACCATTTACSKGTGTTCYTCCGGACCAAGTCCCCTCCCTGCCACCCCTGCAAGATGGCAAACTGATTCCCCAACCTAAAGCTGTCATCCGCTCTCGTTTCAATCAAGGAGTTCTTGAAGTCTTAGTGAAGTGGTGTAGCTTACCATCGGCCGAAGCCACATGGATCCCATTGACAGAGTTCCAAGCCACATATCCGAAGTTCGAGCTTGAGGACAAGCTCGTAGTTCAAGAGGGGAGTAATGTTATGGATGCATTCCTCGGAAAGACGTACCATCGCCGCCGGCAGCAACAGGAACCTGACCCACTGCCAGATTAGATTAGATCATCTTGCTTGTTCTTATCTTATTCTATTGCTCTTATCTTATCTTGTTAGTAAGTTATCAAATTAGGATTAGTTTATCTTATTATCAGATTAGGATTAGTTTATCTTATTATCAGATTAGGATTAGCATATCTTATCCTTAGCAAGATAGAATTAGAAGTCTCCCTATTCAGCAAGGAGACTCCCTAAGATTATGACTCTTGTAATCTCCTATTTAAGGAAACACCATTATTGAATGAAGATATCGAATATTCAGTCAAGAAGAGAGTAAAGGAAAGTTAGGTGATCTCTTGGACAAATCACCCATGAGATAGTCAAAATAGGGCCTATACGCAAGGCCAAAGGCAAGGAAAGATCAGAGGTTCCTGCGGTGGAGCGACCTGTGACGCGATCCTACGCCCGAGCCCATAACAGAAATATAACTTAGTTTATTAATTTATTACTAAATTAATATAATATTAGTTTATAAAAATATACTGAAAATAAACCATTTTGTGTATAGATCGGGGTTTGAGCTCGGGCTCGAACTTCGGGCTTTACACAAGGGCTAGGCTCTGGCTCAAGATTTAGGCTCAATGATTGAGCCACGCTCAGGCTTGGGCTTGCACATTTTCTGTTGATAAAGAGGTCTGTGTTAATTATAAAACTATAATTTTTTACAAATTAAAATTTTTATTTAATTCTAGTTTAGTATAAAAAATATATATATTTCTATATATATATATTAATATAAAATTTATTATTTAAATGTTATATAATAATAATTACCATATATGCACATAACTTCCAAATTGAGCTTATTAGGGGTTGTTTAGCTTGGGCCCTATCCGCTAAAGCCATCATTAGACTCCAAAAGTTTGATATCCAATTTGCCTTCCAATCTGATTATCCATGATAATGTGTGGGCCTGATGCATATCTCAGTTAGACCTAAATCAAAAGAAAATAGTTGCTTGAGCTTGCTAATTTATAGATCTAATCGGGTTAGTTTAAGTTATAAATGATTTGTTACTTTTTATTATTAATTATTAAAATATTGTTAGCTGTTAAAATATTGTAATTATTAAATTACTTTATTTATTTAATGTAAAGTAATTTCTGGAAATTATCATATTTTCTTGGATAAAACTAATTAAATGTAATTTTTTGGTAATTAAATATAATTTTCTACTATTTATAACTTAAATTATAATTACTGTTAATTATAGTTTAACAAGGAGAAGAACTCCCACATGGTTTCTTATAAATAGTTTTGTGGCAACTCTAGTCTCTCCCAAAGCTATCGTTGGCCATGCTTAGTCTTTGAAAATAATAAAAAAAGACAATGAAGTTTCTTTTTTGTTCTAGAATTGGCTATGCTTTGTTTCTTTTTATTTATAACCATCATATATACAAATAGATATTTCTTGGGTCTATTATTCTTAAGCTATATATTTTGGACATTTACCATGTGACCCTTGAAAATTCAACCCAGAAAATTATTATATTTTCAATAGGGTTGTCAATGGACCAATTTCGGGTTAGACCCCTCCAAATCGAAGGTGTTATAGGTAGATTGGATGATCCAAAGCATGGCATGGACTCGGACGGGTCCATACATAAATCGTTCGTGCATAGAGTGGACCGAAATAGGACAAAACCATTTAGCTCAAAGGTCCATTATATTTCCTTTTGTTTGAAACCTCCAAACTTTCAAAGGCCAGGGCTCCACGCCTCCAAGGATTAAATGAACAGTCAAAATACATATCTCTAGCAATTTTCTTCATTTTCTCCGGTAATATTTTCCTAACTCCAACAGTATTCCCGATGGCATTTTCCTCTCTCCGGCATGATCTATCACTATCGATTTTTTTGGTTGTTTTGAAATCTGGGCTCCATTCCAATGTCTTCATTAGTAATTTTCTTGTGGATTTTTATGCAAAATGTGGGCGATTGGAAGACGCTTCAAAATTGTTTGACTAGATACCTAAGAGGACAATCGTGTGCTGGGTGGGCGTCAATGATGGTGGGTTATTGCCAAAACGGAACTGTCGATGAGATCATATCGATCGATTTTTAGGTAGATGCTGTTGGAAGACAACCTCTCTCATATCAGATTGTATATTCAATGGAGGCTCAGATTGGAAGGAGTACAAATACAAATTTGTAGAGTTAAAACTTTGAATTTTATATTATTTTGTATGTATTTGTGCTGTACATATTTATATAAATATTACTCTTTCCCAACTGAGCTAGACTGGTCAAGAGGGCCTTTGTTTTATTCTTCCACATGCTACAAGATGGAATTGTGCCAATTAAATCAGATATCCATTATAAGCATGATTCAGGCATGTTGTTTAGCAAAGAAATGGCGATTATTTATGTGAATTCACGGTTATATAATAAAATCAGACTTGTGCTAAGCCAAGACACCCTTGTTATGATTTCTCTTGTGGGGTGCAGATGTAAATCCTAGAAAAAGGTGAAATAATTTTGTAGTTTGTAAACATTAAGTTATTTATGTACAAAAAACACAATGAAACATAAAAGCGCAAAATAGAACTCACATATGCACCCTACAAGGGGCACCTCACGATGTCCCACAGCACATCTCTATCGTGTATGGGGAACATCTCCAGACTGGTATTATCATTGGGAGATATTCTCAATATACAGCGGGCGGGAATGTACTGTAGGACATTGTAGGGTGCAGATCTGAACTCGCAAAATAACCAACAGGCAACGACTACCTCATTTTTCTCGTGCTCATGCCTGCAATTTATATATCTTCATTTCCTTCTTTCCAAATCTCAGACAAATTAAGCTATTCGAAATCGTGTGGATAGGACATCCAAACACCCTTGAATATACTTCATTCCTTCCGACAGTACCCTTTCAAAATTGAACACATGGCATCAAAGTAAACGTCGGATGGTTGTCCCTCAGATTAAAATATTGATGATGTTGAATAGTTGGTCGACATTTGTCGGTTAACTCAGATCCAAAGTCCACACACATCATTAATTCCAGTCGTTAATACACAGCTGTAAGCCCACGGGCCACGACACAAGCCCACGATTACTTAATTGTTTGTCACTGATGAATCCCAAATCAGACGCAAGAGGACTCCACCCATGTCCATGATGATCTCTGTATATATAATACTCTCTCAGCTTGCTTCAACTCTCACGCAGCTGCGCGGTGACAACAAAGCCAGCCATTCTTTTCGCCTTTTACTTTTCCATTTCTTGGATGGATGGCCCCAACAATTCTTTACTCCCAACTCCCAAGTTTTTTCTTTCAGATACACTTTAGAGTTTAGACTGTGGGGTATTCAGATTTCCGATCATGCAGCTCTTTATTTCATCTTCATTTAATCCTTTGTGTTATCGGTTTCAAACGGAAAGATTCTCGACCAAATCGACAAATTGCAATTTGCAGTTGATCTGATGATGGTCTGTCGTAGAAGGTTTTGATTTTTAATGGTCTGTCGTAGAGGATTAATTTCTAGTTTAGTGGGTCAGAAGTGAGAATAGCCATTTCAAAAACTGGAAAAGGTACACCTCTAGTTTTTAAT